CCTAAACAAATCTCTTGCATAAGTGGGAGGTAAATCTGATCGAATTGATTCAATGTGAAAGATAAACACAAAGATTATAATAACTGAAAAATTAATTAACAAATCAGTTCCAGCGAGTCTGATTTTTCGTTAATTTTTCCTAAATTTTCGCACTTCCCTTGGCAGAGATAGAAGTTCTTAGAATATGCAGCTACCTCATTTTAGATTTGGCAAAGGGGTTGATATCCACCCTTAAATACGACCCATTGAAATTAACCGTAAAGTAAAATCCGTATAAATGGGCAATTTGATGTAAGCAGTGGTGCAAGTTTCGGTAAACTAACAACTCAGAATTTCCAATACTCTATTTTTTTGTATATTACACTGTCTCATCAAAACCTGTTAATAACAAAACAATTCAGGCATCGCAAAAAAAATCAATAAAATTAAAATTTATTGTGAGTGCTCTCCAGGAGACGAAAGTTTGTCCACAGAGGAAAATATAATTGTCAGTGTATTTACATCTAGTAAGTAAACATTTAAAAATATTTATTTATTTATTTATACGTTTCTTAAAAACAAAAAACTAAAGAAAAACATACAAAAGTGTCCTGTTACATTATTAGAAAGAAAAAAACATATTATTATTTCAAGCTCGGCCAAAGACTACAATAATTATAAAGGAAAACCAGTGACAGCTCTCACAAATGATCTAAACGGAACGAAAAAATCCATCTGACTTAGCTAATTACACAGCCTAAGGATCTCTGGAAGGAACTAGTGAAATGGTTAAGTACAAATCTTCTGGATTCCTCCTAGGTTGGTTGTTTATAAATCAAACTTGCTGACATTTCGCCAATCATCATGTTGGCTTCTTCACAGCTTAACTGAAACTCTGACGCTCTGAAGAAACCAACCGGATTATTGGCAAAATTAAAATTTATTGTGAGTGCTCTCCAGGAGACGAAAGTTTGTCCACAGAGGAAAATATAATTGTCAGTGTATTTACATCTAGTAAGTAAACATTTAAAAATATTTATTTATTTATTTATACGTTTCTTAAAAACAAAAAACTAAAGAAAAACATACAAAAGTGTCCTGTTACATTATTAGAAAGAAAAAAACATATTATTATTTCAAGCTCGGCCAAAGACTACAATAATTATAAAGGAAAACCAGTGACAGCTCTCACAAATGATCTAAACGGAACGAAAAAATCCATCTGACTTAGCTAATTACACAGCCTAAGGATCTCTGGAAGGAACTAGTGAAATGGTTAAGTACAAATCTTCTGGACTCCTCCTAGGTTGGTTGTTTATAAATCAAACTTGCTGACATTTCGCCAATCATCATGTTGGCTTCTTCACAGCTTAACTGAAACTCTGACGCTCTGAAGAAACCAACCGGATTATTGGCAAAATATCAGCAAGTTCAACGACCAATGCAAGAGGATTGTAGATTTGTAAATAGTATTAGAGTAGCCTAGGGAAGTTTCTTGGAAAAATTGTATAGTTAGTTCTTTTTGAAAGTTTGAAGAGCACTGGTATTGCGGAATGGGACATATGAAGCGATTTTAGAAGGCAGGTATGAACAATCAATTGTAGAGTTTATTATTTTGTGGATAAGTTCGAAATATCGTTGCTCGCTGACAAGTCGATTGTGACACAAAGTGGTGCACAATGAAAGTCTTCAACAGACAGGCGTAATTTGGATAAGATGTGTGCGAATATATAAACAATATACAAGATAGCGCCCTCTGGCAGCAACGTCCAAATAAATTTCAAATTCGAAATTGTCATGTCGAAAACCACAAACCTGCCAATTTTTAAAATTGACATTAATAATAATTATGTTGAGCTTAATAATAATGTTTTGGTATTTAGGATCTCCAGTTTAGACATCGTCCAGTCTTTACGAATCGCGCGGTAGAGTTTTGACAGAGTTGAGACTGGCAAAATATCTTGCGTTACTATACGTAACGGTTCGCGAAAGCAATCTTGCATTCTGCTCGGTACTCGGTAAACGTATAAGTGTCTCGCACCTAAATATGTCTTCTTTAAACCTATATACAACATTAATAATTCCGCATCGTATTTATGGCGCAGCCGTAATGGATCCTAAATACCCTCTCCGTAATCAATAAAACCGTCGATTACCTTCAGTCCGAGACATAATTTCAAACTTGGGGGCTCGGATAGCGGGGCCTAATAACTCGTCAAGATTTAATGGATTCGCAGAGTAATCCGTTCAAATTAAACATAAAAAGAGTAATCAAATGACAAAAATCCCGATAGAGCTGGATTTGGGATAAAGTGACGAAAGTTTAACCATCGGTTCTATGTCTGCCAAAAAAGTTATTCAAGGCCAAAAGTAAAAATTTGGATTTTTTCGAAAACGGTGTTTTATTAAAAAAATATGTTGGATATAAATTGTAAACCGCTCCTTATAATTTTTTGCCAAGATATCGCGATTTTAAAAGTTGAAGCAGTAACATTCTGCATTATAAGCACCCATTTCCGCGCCACCTGTAAGGTTGCATTTTTTTCAACCTTGTTTCCCTAGTCTGCTCCACGTTTTGTGGCGAAATACTATATTTACACCAAGATCGTTATTGATGTTTATATAGGTTATATACTTAAACTGTAGTTCTAAATTCTATTAATATTTTAATCTGATTCATACTCAAAGTCAACTTCAAGAGTGATGTATTCTCAGATTTCACCTTCTTCCTCTTCTTCTGAAAGGATTGCCATAAATTGTTCAAATGAAGATGAATCAACTCTTTGTTCATCTATATCACATGATCTTCACCTGTTGGACCAGGTATGACAATCAATACACGCTTGCGAATACTCTATTACAACCATATTTAGCACTGCAACTATAACAGTTTCACCTTTCATCAGTCCAAGGATTAATGCAAATAAAGCAGAATTTTGACATTTAAAACGGTAGACATAGTATAGAAGGATGCCGATCAAAGCCGTGCGGGTGCAAGGAATTGACTAAAGAACTCCGTTTATTTTGAGTGTATATTCTCAGTTCAATAGAGTTTATAGAAGAGACACAAATATATAAAATAGTCATTTTTACTTACATTATGTGTCTAACGTCTGACTACGCATATAACTCAGATATTTATTTTATTATTAGTTGTTTTTTTTATAAGCAAATAAAAATTATTCCTGTACCAAAGAAGTCTACAAAAGCTACAAAAGGAAACCGCTAGATGGACCGCTTCACTCGTACGTACAGTACGCTGAATAGAGTTCCATTTTCTTGAAGAAAATGTACAGAGCAAAGTTCAGTAGGTTGAGTTTATGTGACAAACCTTTTTAAGTTAATTTTATTAAATAATTATTCGTTAGTTGTGCTAGAATCCTGTGGAGAGGTAAAGTTTAGAAAACAGTTATTAATATTTAGCTATAGTAGAACATCGTGAACATCGGGGCATTTCGATCAAAGTCAGCCTGAAAGCAAGTTTCTTTGAATTTAATAAGGACGTTAGGAAAAGTGAATTTTAGAGTGCTCGGATTGCAATTTTGCCGCAGATGGAAAAATCCTAGTTCGCATGTCAGGCGTGTAACCTGCGCAACCCAATTATTGTAGTCCGTAGCGTCCGCCAGTAAATGGAAATCGAAACGCTTCCTTGGGAGTCTACTGGTGCCTATTCCAAATAACTTTACCAGAAAGTTAAGACATATAGACAGTATAGCAATTTTTAAGTAAGTGATAGGGGTATTAACTACTAATATGTTCAAATGAAGGTATTTTTCAAGAGTTTTTAGCTTGCATTTGATGTCCGTCTTAGAGTCACTGTTTAAAGAAGTCAAGATAAGTTAAAAAAATATATGTACTCATAGACTCCTCTTCAAGAATCCCGGATGTGATTAATCTTCTATGAAAAGACATCCTCCTATTCCTCCGTAGTCGATACAAGAGCAATGGCCACACATAGCACTTCAATATTCTCAGTCTGATTCCGATTGACAGACCTGGATTATAGAGCACGCTACAATGCGCGTCTTGATTTCGAAAGGTCGTGATGATTATTGATTTCTCCACCCAGGTATATGTAACGCTCTGGATTTTGAAGGGTGGTGTTATTAATTTCAATATTTTCTACTATAATAGACTATTTTCAAGTCTTCTGAATTCTTCCTGCGTCGGTTGTTTATAAATCAAACTGCTGACGTTTCGCCAATCATTCTGCTATCTTCTTCGAGTTTTTCTTTTAATGATTATGTACACATTGAATAATACCGAGCAGAGAAAACATGCCTAGAGGACACCAGTTTCGATATTTAAATGGGAAGTGCTACCATCTATTGCTCGGACGCATCCCTTGTAGTTCCAGTACATGTTGCCATAACATAATTATATCGTAACTAATCAACTCTCTCTCTTGTACAATCTTGGTAAGTTTGGTGTAGTATGCCATCAAAGGCCTTCTTGTAATCCACAAAACAAACTCAAAGATAAGGTTAAAGTTGGACAGAGAGTGGTTTTTCTGATCCCTGCACAATTATTCTAATCAAAATCAGATTGTTCTACGATCCTGGCACTACCTCGCTTTGTTCTTTTAAGGCAAGTGTATATGTGTGAAGGCTAACCAGTCTTGCGCTACATTTGTGTGTGGGTCAGTTTACTTATAGCCTCGTCACTAAGACGTTTAAATTGTTTTTGCCACCGTAAAGTCTTTGATATGAGTGCATATATTACTTTTAGAATCGTGATATCTGAGGAATGATGATTCCTAGTACAAAAAGTATAAGAACTATTTTTGTGATAGTTTTTTGATAAAATTTGGACTTTGGACCTTGAACAACTGTCCCAGCATAGAAGGACCGACTTCCGGCACTTTATTTTTGCTGGTATACCTAAGGTCTCCCGCCCAAATCTAACTGGGATTATTTGTTATTTGAAATGTCTGTTTGGACCGGACTAAATCGTCGCTGATTTTTCTTAAAACGGAAACGTTCCAGGTTGTAGAGACGGATTAAAAATTAATGCACACCTACCTTGCAACGCGGCCACTGCGCCCGCGGCCACGACGACGACGAGATAGAAGCGGACGCTCGGCGTCATCGCCGACGTCACGAATTTTAACGCGGCCATTTTTATATCGCCATCGTCTCCCCGGTTCCGGGTAATCGAATTTTTAGTCCACGGAACACTTTAAAACGTACCTGGAAAAACAGGAAATTTTTATTAGCGGGCAATTTTCGAGCGGAAGAACGGCGTATTTATTGCACCGAAGATAAATAATATAAAAAGGGTCATTCTCAGTCTTCTCGACTTGGTTTACTATTAGTGTAATACAAATTCGATTAAATAAAGTAAAACAATATTTAATTAAGAAATTATACTCAAATTTCGTGAACCGAAATTGTATTATGTTTATTTATCATTTTTTAAGGAATAAATTATGTGGTTTAATATTTCGTTCTAACAGCACACTGATAAAAATAACGATATGTGTCTGGACTACTCAGATTGTACCGTACTATATAATTTAGCAAGTTCGACTCAGCAACAACCAGAAGTTTTGTAAATAGTATAATAATAGACTGTGGAAGTTTCGTTGAAAAGAAAAAGACATTATGTAGTTTTATATTTTAATAAGGTTTATTTATGAGTATACACATGGTCCTCTCAAATAACATGTGTCCAGACATACGATATGTGTCGGGATTACTCAGGTTGTACCGTACAAATATACCATATAATTTAGCAAGTTGACTCAGCAACAACCAGAAGTTTTGTAAATAGTATAATAATAGACTGTGGAAGTTTCGTTGAAAAAAAAAGACATTATGTAGTTTTATATTTTAATAACAGTTATTTATATGTACACACATGATTCTCTCAAATAACATGTGTCCATACATACGATATGTGCCTGGACTACTTAGGATGTACCGTACAAATATACCATATAATTTTGTAGCAGATATGATTGGTACACTCATTCATGAAAAGAGGTTTTCTTCACTATTAAAACTGCTACCATTCGAAGCGACAGCAAATGCAGGCATTTCGATATTTTTAAAACGGGCGCATGTAAGTTTGCATCGGTACAGCGCGCTTCAGACTACATATTACTCCGCACTTAAGTCATTAAGACTTTTTAAAAATAACCTACTTATTAATTTTGCCGCGGGACGACAGCTTTAGTCGCTTGTGACAGCTTTAATGGCTGACTTTTATTTGTATGCGTCTGCTACGATAGGGGAAATCATCAATCTGCGACACACTGAGAACTGATTTCGCTTTTAGTTTTAAATGAGCGTTAATATTTTTTATTAAACGGATATATAGATGAGTTTTACAGCTTAAACAGCACTTCAATACAAATCGAATATCGCAAAAGTACAGCTTTATTCATAGAAAATAAGTGCATTAAAATTGTTAACCTGAAAATCACAATTTCAACAATTAAACCACGTCTTTAGCAAGAAAACTTGGCACAGGTCCGGCACACATTTCCATAACTGAACAAAATATCTCAGGGCAAATCCTTTTGAAATTCTAAAGAATGCCGTCATTGACCAGAAATTTAAAAAATAAAAAGGTGCTCACAGAAAAACGGAATATTCCCCCCTAAGCGATATCCCAAACTGCCATCGGTTTTTTAACACGGTAGTGTCCCCTTTCGAAAATATTTTTCGGTCCATACATAATGTACAAATTCGTGTCTACTGACCAAACAATACATAATGCGAAGAAAGCTATAAACATTATGTCTCTATTTTGAAGATATTTGTTGGACAAATATATCCAAAAAACTCATTAGTCTGTCAGTATGATAACTGACTGCACTGCACTGTTGCGAATGCAAATGTTGTGAGGTAATAGTAATAATATTGAAGTCTTGCATGACCCCGCTTACAGTCCCGATATTAAACCCATATTTGGGGTCTAATTGTAAAAAAAAATTGGAGATTAAACTTTTGTAACTAATTATGGGAGACATTAATGTAACCAAATATAAAATTTTTAAAATTTTATTTATGTTTTTGTTTTGTCTACTGGCGCCGATAAGAAAAGCCTGATTTACGCAAATGTGGCAAATACTGGTCATAAGACATTCACTCGCCCATTTCACAGAATACAGAATACAAGTTTTTTTTTAACTTTTTGACTTGACTCCGTATACTTATCCTGATAGCGACATTCTACGCAATAATAAGCAGTTATTAGCTTTGAAAGAAGGTTAACTACCTTTATTTTATTTATTTATTATTTCAGCTTACAACTTACAAGCTGATTATTACTACTATGACTTACAATGTTGTTAAAAGTAACTCAATCAAAAAGATATTCAGGAAATCGATAAATAAAAATAAATCAATAACATTCTGGAATAAATTTTGTAATGTTGCAAACAATGCCTTTTGTGATAAATTGGTTAAGACTTTCGCGGCCTGTTGATGAGCTATTATCTTAATTCGGGTTTAAAAGCCGTCGTCGGTTGGAATTACTTCCTAACGTTTCGCTAGCACGAGTGGCGAGCTTCTTCAGAGGTCCTTCCATCTCCGATGTTGGACGTAGACTGATAATTTCTCCTGCGCAGGTTGTATTTATGCCGATTGGTGGTGGGCGGGGCTTGTTCCGCTTCGGTTCGTCTCGGGATATCGATCGGTACTGCTCGGGCGTTCCTAAGGATCGGGTTCCAGATTTGGTTGAGTCTAAGGGTCTCCTCCTTTCTGTTGAAATTGTGTGGGTGTTTTTGTATCTCAATGGCTTCCCTGACTAGTCTGTTGTGATAGCCGTTGACCGATGCTAGTAACTTAGAGCTCTCAAAGTGTATCCTGTATTCCCCGCTACCCAGTGCGTGTTCAGCTACTGCAGACTTCTCTGTCTGTCCTAGCCTGCAGCTTGCTTTATGCTCCTTAAGTCTCGTTCCCATTGTTCTCTTGGTAGTTCCGATGTAGACCTTTCCGCATAAACACGGAATGCGGTAGACTCCTGCAGCTGAAAGTGAGTCCCTCTTGTCCTTCGCTGACCTGATGGTCTGCTGGATCTTCTTTGTAGGCTTAAAGATTGTTTTGATGTCGTGTCTTTTCAATACTCTGCCAATCCTGTCGGTGACACTCGAAATATACGGCAGATATGCGTGGGAGGTGGAGGGTCGTTGTTCGGTATCCCGTGATCTTGATGATCTTGAGTTCATTAATCTCTCGATCTCCCTCTTGCTGTAGCCATTTGCCTCGAACGCAGTTTTCAGGTGTTCAAGTTCCATCTGGAGGTTCTCCGGTTCGCAAATCCTTCCGGATCGTTCTGTCAGGGTTCTAATAACCCCATACTTTTGACTTGGGTGATGGTTGGATAGAGCATGCAGGCATCTGTCCGTATGGGTTGGTTTTCTGTACACTGTGTGGCCCAGCTTGTTACCTCGCTTCCTCACTAGTACGTCTAAGAATGCAAGTGGATACCGAACAACGACCCTCCACCTCCCACGCATATCTGCCGTATATTCCGAGTGTCACCGACGAAGAAATACCTCCGAAAACATCCTATTGCTTCCATACCAGAAGTGGCTCGGATTCGTGGGAAATGAAACTGACATGGTAAAGTGACGCTTCCTGCACGCTAGATCGGTGTGTAATTAAGTATTTTACAGACGGGAGTAAAAATTGTATATTATGCAACAAGTGCGGTAAACGAGTTTATTTGACACGAGCGGAGCGAGTATTTAATTAACGAGTGAGTTCAAAAGTGTACCGAACGTGTTGCATACTATACTTTTTCTACGACCGTTAGTTTTTGGATACGTTTTCGCAAAACAACACGAATACAGTCACTGACATGACCATTCCGAATTGACAAACGTCAAAATTTATGCCGTGGGAAATTTCTCCCAAAACATCCGATTGCTCCCAAATCCGTGCGGCAAAATCCAGGAAATGTCCGAAGTGGCTCGGATTTATGGGAAACGAAACTGATGTGATAAAGTGACGCTTTCCGCACGCTAGATCGGCGGGTAATTAGGTATTTTACAGACGGGAGTAGAAAAAGATTTTTTTTATTTAAACATTTGACGACCGAGAAAGGAAAGATATTTTACATTTATTCATTTTTTATGAATTGTAATTAAACTCTGTTTACGGAGGTGTCTGTTGCGGAACATTTGCCAAAACTGACTTCTATGATACGTTTGCATTTTACGGAAAAAACAACTTTTGAAGGAGTAACAGAAGGAGTTGATGGACGAAAATGCATGTCTAACCATAACCATACATAAATCTCAAACAGGCATTCAGAAATTTTTGTATATGCGTAGAATTGGATTGATACATTGTCACATAAACCAAAGTGAGTCAGGGAGATCTGCAAAGCATTGTTTGCTAAGTGTAATTTCGTCATGAATTCTTTTGAAAATTCAAGCTATCATCTATCATAAGACCATTTTTAAATTCAATTTTGTCACTGCCAATTTTAATATTAAACATTTTTCAAAAGAATAAAAGTGAATGTTTTAATACTACGGCCTCAGTATTTATAAATAGTGGAAATAATAGCGTGCCTAGTGTCGATCCCTGTGGCACGCCAAATGCAATGTTTTGGTAATATTTTGCAATTTTCAAAAAACATACGATCGAGGGGGGAAAACTAGTTGCAAAATAAATAAGAACTAAAACTTCAGATTTTCACGAAATTATATATTTTGACATGACAATTGTTTCGACAACACCGTGTCTTTATCAAATGTAATATTTACAAACTACCTGCTACTATGTATACCGAAAAATGACCATAAAACCAGAATTAATGTTGTTGTGAGAATTTAAGTTCAATAAAGGAGAGATATTTAAATCTAAATGATCGTTAAGCAATACATTTGAATGTTTTGTTTGTTTGTTTGTTAATCTCCATTGCCTTCAATAAATTTAATTTTCTGCTTTTTGTGGCTATATGTAAAATGTCAAAATTGTCGTCAAAAATGTGTTTTTCTGTTTTTTTTGTGTAGCATAATTAGAATCCAGACTATTGTTTCTAAACGCTCTTTTAAGTTCGTTAATGCGTTTCTTGGAGGATCTACCTGTTTGTCCAATATAAATTTTAGGACAAGATTCGCATTTCAACCTGTAGACACCTGATTTTTTGAGATTTTGGACATTTCGTTTTATTGTTTTTGAAATATTTTCCTATTGTGTTCTTAGTTCTGAAAGCTATTTTTAAACCA